TTTTTTTTAATGAAAGAGTAAATGGAAAGGGAATGCTTTTGATATCATTTAAATATTGCTTTAAGTAAGAAAGTAAATGTTTTAAATGCCATTATATTAAATAGATTTCAGAATATTTCATAAACATCGCAAATTCAAAAAAGAAAAAAAAATTATTTCCCTTTCTTTCGATAATGGCCTTCCTGATATTATTTTTATTATTTTTTTTTAAAGGCAACTTATTGATGCATCTGCATTGATTGCATAAGGCATTAATTTCTTCAGCTAGCCAATTTAATATTAAATTAATGAAACAATAAATTTATTTTATTTAAAAAAATATATTTAATGTTTTAAAATTAAATTCTAGCAAAAGTTTAAAGGCAAAACTTCAGTATGTAACAATTATTTTGTTAATCGAATGCTATTTTTAGAAATTCATTCCGCAAGAAAGCATTTAAAAGATAAGAAATGTATAAAGTCAAATACTAAAACTTTTACTTTATAAATTAAAATTCAAGTTTGTTTAATAAGAGAAGTGCGGTTGATTTCGATGAGGACATTCCAGTCTGACATAATTACTACAAGGTCCTAACCTTAGATAATTTGATTTAGTTTTATCTTTCTATCACTTGTTGCCTGCTTTATATAAAATTGAGAAATGTGTAATGCGATTTTAATGCATTTTTTTCAATTATAAACTTAAATGATACAGGAATTCGGAAGCTGTTTTAGTACTAAATTACATTTTCTGTAATCCGAGTGTAATTTTCCCTAATTCAAGTCATGGAATTCCTGCGATGGTTTGAACATTCCAAAGCAGGGTGATGGCTGCATTCCAACAGCAGTTTTATGGAGCACTGGAGTATTCGTCAAGTATCCATAAATCGTGTAACAAACAGACCTACCCTAAAAGCTAAGTTATACGAAACATAATGTGATCAAAATCCTTATCATATTAAATGTATTCAAAATTGCGTGGAAAAAAGATCGCATGATTTCCTCAGAAACGTCACGGAACTTTCTTGTCGTTTCATCTTAAATTTATATATAATCGGGTCTTATTCATTGCCTTTACTCAGTCGTGTAAGTTCTATTATTGTACAAATGTTAACTGTCTGATTTATTTCTTTTTCTCTTATCACATATTCTGATTAACTCATTTTACATTCATGATGTAATATTAACGATCTACATTATTACAGAAATAAAACGGCATTAATAATTAAGGAAAAAAGATGATGAAGAAGAAACAGGAGTAGAGGGATTCCAGCGTCGGATTTCAAATGCCCTACATTAATCATAACTGATACCATTTCAGTTTCTATAGCAACACGATATCAAACAACACAATCAAGCGAATTAGTGACAATTATCCTCTTTGTTGTTCCCTTTCCGGTTAGTGATATACCACACCCACTCTTTATCAACCAACTGTTTGTTTACGTTTTAATTAGCCGCGGGTATTGATGGTATACTGATGTTGCATTCTGCTAGACACGACATCATTAATTTCTTCTTGATGGGAAAATTTTCTTCTTCGTATAATATATGAAACTATTATATTAATTATGTAAATTCTTTGCTGCTCACAACTTAACGTTAAAATATTTTTACATAAATAAATTTTATATCGATTAAACTTTGAGGAATTCATAAATTGTTATGTCGAACTATCAAGTTGTTTTATCGAATCTTTTCATTATTAAACGAATTGATTAAGCAAAGTTATTACGCGAAATTTATCATTATCGATTCATAAGTAGCATTTTCAAATTGTTTCATCGAACTGTCTTGAAATTTATCGATCCTTATCCTTTATTAATGAGATTTATTATTAACAAATAAGAGGAATTTTGTGAAATTTATTCGAATGTATTTTTGAAAATATTCAAAAATTCATACGTTTTCCTAAATTAATTATTGGATATAAGTCCCTACGTAAGCTGCATCCAGATGAGATTCTCATCTGGATTCAACATATCGTGTGAATTGATATCGATTGCTAAATCTCAGTTCTAAGCAAAGATAAATATGTAAAAGTATCACCCCGATTTAAGAATTAAGCAGTTGATTATAATATCTAATATCTATTATTACAACTAGTAATTCGATTACTTTCAATCTGATTACAGTGAAAGACATCCTGTTCTATTGTATGAGTCATAGTTCTTAAATAATTAATTTTTATAAATTAATGATAAACCTGATTAACGTAGTCACGCAGTCAATGGAATAGACGCAATCAGAATTCGAATAGACAGGTAATTAGCCATAATTTGACTCCATGCTACACATTCGTGTCATACACGCATCACTTTAGAAACTATTTTCCAATTTATTACATTTTAAAGAGATTTTTAAAGCTCCTTTTCGTGAATATATTCTTTTAAAGCGCTATTTTCTGGTGTTAGTTATTCAAAGAAGTTAAAGAAATTCGAGAAAATTCAATAAAAATAATCACATTCATGAGATTTCTTCTTTAAACTTATAAATTCGAACGAGTTCTTTAATTCTATGAATATAATCAAGTAAAGCATTCAATTTACAATAAAAATAACTTATATTCTCAAGTAACAAACTTGTTTTTAAATTTATTTTCTAAGAGTTTTATTAAAATATTTTTCAATATTCAAAAGATCAGTTTAGTAATTTTTAAAAATTGTTATTTAATAAAAACATAAAATAAAATTTTGTTAAATAAACATTTTTATTATATGAATTATTATCCAAAAATTTATTTTTCTTGACCTCTATTTATAAGCATCTTATTGAAAAATGTGCGATCTTTCTACAACAAATCAATTTTCCTTTTTCAGTCCAAACAGAATTCTTCCAGGAATAAAATATTCCAGCAAAATTCTCTATTGAATTCTACTAGAAGAAGTTATATCAACATAACGGAATTTATCAAAATATGATTCACCTGTCAAAGTTCCATAGTCGTGTTAGACATGCGATATTTTGATCAAAATTCTGTTATTATTAATGAAAAGAAAATGTCATTTTGGATATTTTTCATAAAGTATAGCAAGTTGGTGGATAGATTCTACAAAAACAGGCTGCTGTTATTGCATCAGAACTCCTTCCTATAGAGAGTCTCGACATCATAAAACACATTAATGTTTGTCGCATGCATGCTGGTTTGAAAATTAATTGTTTTCTCCTTTCATTTCTTCTTCTTTTTTTTATTAAGCTTCCTCTTGGATAAATTGCGAAATCTAGAAAACATCTGTGAATACCTCGAATGTTCTTTGTCCTGATAGACTTCAATGATATGTAAGCCTTCATTTGTATCACTCAGTCAGAAGTCTAGTTCCTTTTGTTTTGCTTCTTTTTCGGTCTGCAGTTGACATACAGTGGTTAGTTAATTCTAGAGTACGTTTCTTAATGTATTATACATAGAGCTCTAGTCATATTCATTAGGATTCTTCTCAAAAACAAAACAGAATTTCAATCGAATGCATTCTATTTTCAAGAGATTTTTTAATTTCTTTTTCGCTCCGAAATAAAATAAATTAAATGTTTGTTGCTGTTTCATCATTTTAAATTTTATTCTAGATATTTATTTAATGAATAAACAAAAGTATAATTTAATTCAAATATTAAAAATTTACTTAAAAAATTATTAAAATTAAAATAATTTTCTTAAATCGATATCAATTCGTTTTCATGTAAATAAATTATTTAGTATTTATCTTTCTATGCATTTTATATAATTTATTACTTTCTTTAGTTGTCTTATGTTATAAAATAGTTATAAAATATTTTTCTTTCTTAAAATATCCAGATTTTAAAGTTAGCAAATTAAATTATATAAATGTTTTCTAAAGAAACTTTTTAAAGCTTTTTAAAATATATATATACTGTATATAAAATTAATAATAAACGATTTAATGTATATATAATTATAGTTTTTATAAATAAAATTCAAACTTAAAGCAAAATATCATGTTACAAGCTTGATTTATTCGAAAAATTAAATTATATTTCTCTATAATTTATTGTTATATATTTTTACATTGTTTTAAATAACATAATTAATTATTAACTAATTAAATAATTAAAAATTAATGTGAAAATGTAATATATAACGTCAAATTATAAAAAGATGTTTTATTTGCATAAATAAGACTTTAATCATATTGTTATTTTGCTTTAAATTTTAACTTTATCTACAAAAATATATACTTTTATAAATATTAAATTGTTCATTAATATTATTATATAATTTTTATAAAAGTTAATNCAACACATTTATTTGAAAAAAATAACAAAAAATAAAATAAATAAACGAATTAAATGTGTTTAATTTTTAAAAAGTATCTCAAATTATTTATTTTAGTTTAAATATATTTTAAATTTTCATAATTTAACTTTCTTTTTTAAGAGAATTTTTTTTTTTCAATAATTGAAATTTATTTAAGTGCCATACTTGTTTAACTTCTGAAGCATTTCAATAGATTTATAAATAGCAAAAAATTTTAATAATAATTATGAGATAATTTAAAAATTTACTATTTACACATGAATAATTATCATTTTAGAAATTGTTAATTGAATGAAATTTAGATTTTTACTTAATTAAACCAAGGAAATAATCTAATTAAATACAGTTTATTAGCTTAAAATCCATCTGGAATAAATGAAAAAAATTAATAATTAAATATCATAATTACTTATAAAATATCTGTAAACAAAGAAAACGATTTTATTAAGTATATATGCAATATTTTATTTTGTGTACTATTATATTTCAAATTAATTGACAGAATAAAGAGTCGTGTTTAAAGTTAATCAAAAATTAATAGTAATTAATGGAGTGTATAATGAGGAAATCAATATTCTGTTGTACAGGTGTTACCACATTTGATGCAAACTATCACATCTTTGACGTATAAGTTAAGTTATTACGTGCAAAATGGTGCAAACGACGCTAATGTATAATGTTGACATTCTCTGTCGTCATTTCCGCTACGTGACTTTCAATATTCTGAATTAAGGTACAGTGAATTTGGTCTTATACATTAGAAAGTGCTGTATTAAAGTACTTTCTTCAACTATGAACAATCATACTGAATGAATGACCTCGACCTAATCTTCGTAAGTAGCATCACTTAAGAACTATATAGTACACATAGAGTCTATAATAGGTACATTCATGGATAATTAATAAGAAATTTGCAAGTTTTCTACTTTGATTGATAATTTCCATGCCGAAGTTAACAAGCATTAGTTGATTTAACTAGTTTGATGTGCAAGGGAGCGAAAAATATCTATAAATATTCACGAGTTATGGTGTAATTATATTAATATTCATTTTAATTAATTCAAGCTTTAGTTAATAATATAAGTTGTTGCAAAATAGAATTACTAAAATGAATTCTTGATGTTATAATGATTAATATTTGTTTTTTTTTTCTTTTTGGATATTTCATTGTAAATTATTATCATCCTATTCATTTTTAATTTAAGCTTAAATATACAAATGATTTAGAAATCTCAGAATATAAAAATAATAGTAATAAAATTCTCCTTTAGGAGAAGGGGATAAATATATTTACAGGTTTTTATCAGATCTCGTTTGAAGAGTTAAAGAAATCATTTCAAAATTTTATTTTTCGAGAAGATGGTAGCTAAATTTTGTTAAATGCATAAATAATAAATGACAATTGAATGTTTCGTAAGGCAAATTGATAAACCAGTAGAGAAAAGTATGAAAATTGAATCAAGAATCTAGCGTGTCGATAGTAATCTGTTTGCTGGAATTTTTGATAAAAAAAAAAAAAATCTGGAATAATCTCTACCAATAAAAATTCACAAATATTAGCATCAAGTTAAATGTCAGCGACATCTGCGGGGGAAAGATTAAACTACTCGAAGGTGACTGTCATTGAAATTTCAATTGAATAAGTGATATCGTGTCCTGAAGAAAAATCGCAAAGAGTAGAGATTGATTCCTGCATTTATTTTTATTTTATCTTATTTTATTTTTTTCTTTTACTGTAATGATTTTACTTGCATACGTGCATTGTGTGTTTATGCCATCTTTACAAGTATACAAATATTTTCTCTTGCAAACATTCGTGATATTTTGCTTGTCAGTTTGAAAAATTAAGGTTAAACTGATAATGAAAAAATGCAGAAATATGTTGAATATTTCATAAAATAGTTCAATAAACTAATGTTGTATATTTAAAAAAAATAATATGGTTAGTTAATT